TTGCTGGAATCCATTGATGGGGACCATAGAATCGTTTGAAGATAAAATCTATAGTGGCTACTGAAATAGGTGCGGTATTTTGACCACATGTTAAACTCTTTTTGAAACGAAAGTTCCGTTGATATTTGCCTCCATTTCGGCTAAATAAGAACTTGGATAAATAATTCTGAAATTCTACATCCTCCAGTATAACATTTCTTAAATCTATTAATTAAAATATGTTATTATTAATTTAATTTTACAATTATTTATTAACTTATTAGTATTAAGCTATTTAAAAATCTTATTAACCTTTTTGAAAGTATTCTAAAACAAATTTTGTAAAATCCATAGGCCATGCACTTATACTTTGTACTGTTGATAAATTTGCAAATTTTTCCGATAGATTTATTAACTTTGGAAACTCAGCAGTGTAGTTAAAATCTCCCATGAGAATCATTGATTCGTAACCTCGATCGGGATATTCAGCACGATGTACATTGATATATTTGCTTAAATATGAATGGTTTGGTATAAACCATGTTGGATCGAACCATTGTTGCAATTGTAATATACCGACAATTCCAACCGATGCTGTAACTATTGTTATTAATACTATCATTATTTTCCCAGGTTTCGTTAAAATTATATTTGAATATATTTTATTTATCAACTTGGTGGAAAGTTCTTCTTGTGGATTGATGAATTTTTGTGTAAAATTTTCATGAACAATGCAAGGAAATATTGAATTTCTTTTATTTTCGATTCGTCGAGCATCAATGGAGAAAAAAGCAACGTAAAACGTAATTTGAAATAAAAACGTTAATAATACTCCAAACGCTGCATAAATACAATATGATTGAAGAGATGGCAATATCTAAAAATACATGTAATGTTATTTGTATATTTTTCATCTATATAATACATTAAATATTAATTCAATCTTACTGTGGATGCACCAATAATAAAGGCAACAACGTCAGTAAGAGAAGTAATAATAATCGCAGAGCCAGCGTGTCCTAACATTAATGCTATTCTTTTTTCTAATGGCTTATTTCGATTCAACTTTTGTGCATGTACTTCTTTCCAAGATGCCATTATTAAAAAATTATCGTCTACTCCGAGAGCCAATAATAAAAAAGGTAAAGAAGTATGTACAGGCCCATATGAAATGCCAAGAAGAGAGCATACACTAATTGAAACTATAAAAGCACCACCCACGCACAAAAGACCGACAATTGTGAGGTAAACCTATAAAAAAATGTTTTATAACATATAGATATAAATATTTCTGAACGTTTTTATATATACGTAATTTTTTTGATGAAAAACATATATCTTAACTTAAATCTTTACATCAAAAATAACTTACCCTACATCCTACCCAATTATATTCCGAAGATATGACTAGAACATAGAAAAACATCAAAAAGAATCCTATTGATAATATACCAATATTTCCGAACATCGTTACAAACGTAACATCACCGAAGCTTCTTCCAGCTTCGTACCAAATAGCTAATGTATTATTTACATTTTTTTCACTATTCAACAACTTTGCATTTCTATGCAATACATCCAAATAGGATAATTCCCATTGTAATATATCTTTTGTTGCCTATAAATAAAATATTTCGTTATTCGAATATTATTATTATTTATTTATAAGCACATAAAAAAAAAATAATATATATATATATAAAAGTCTTCTATATATATATAAAATTTTAAATGAAAAATTCTGATTTTGTCAAAGATCAAAAAAATTGATAAAATATATATATTTACAGAAAAATGAATTAATCTTTTTATTAAAAACAAATAATTTTATAGATCTTGACAAAATCATTTAGTCAAGAAAAAGAAAACAAGGCCTAAATCATACAAGTTGTTTAAAAAACAACTTATTATTATACAATTAATTTATGTACTATTCAATGAAAAATAATAGTTATATAAAGTATCTTTAAATTTAAAATCATTTATTAAAAATTATGATTTAGGCCTTTTTATAAACTTACCTTACCCAATCAGCTGTTCCAACATCATTGCCAAAGTCATGCATATCCACTTCTGAAAAATTTACAATAATAGCCCATTGTGTTTTCACAGCTGTGGCTGAAATAATTCTATCATTTTCATCTTTTATTATACCACCCAATAATTCTGTAAAATTTAGTGGATGGCCCAAAGTGGGGCTAATTTTTACTTTATTTATATCTTTAATAATTTCTTCTTTAGATTTATGAAGTATCACATTAGTGTCATATTCCCATATATCCAAAATACTATTTAATAGGCAAGCTTTTGGTAAATTGTTAACTATATTACAATAGATTTCAGGATTAGCATGAACTGCAGGTTCAAATATTGTTTTGTTAATTGATATCTCTGGTTCAATTTCAAAAAAATCATCAAATTGATCACTGCGTTTTTTTCTATGTGCAATACCTGATATGACAGGTACTCTATTTATTAAACAAAAAGAAATTAGTTTTTAATGACTTTATATTATTTATATATATTATAAAGTTTATTCAATAACCAGAACGCTTACTTGAAACATATATCTGTCCATGCAATTTGATCAGGAGTTTGTATAGAAATAATTTGCTTTGTTATTTCATTTAACTAAAATAATTTAAATTAATTAAATTTTTAAATTATTATATTATATTTTTGTTACAATAAAATAAAGAAATAAGAATAAATACCTTTGCAAGTATTTCTGGTTCTAATATATTATCCGCTGTTAATATCATATTTTCTAATCTCAAACTCTGATCAAATTTTTCAAACATCCATTCCGTATCACGAACAAATTCCGAATCCTGCGGAACCCATAATCTTATAGGATTTTTCTCTTGATGAAAAAAATAAAGACCAGAGAGGGAAATTAATACTATCACAGCACTTCCAATTATCCATTTCAATGGTCTTCGAGCAATTCGCAATCCAAGCCTGCAAAAACCACAATATTCAATTATATAATCACAAAGAATTTTTCTTTTAGTCACAAAAAAATTATACTTACCCATAGAAAAAATGCTCGACCACTTCTGATAGACGCTGTGGTATGCGTTGCAGAAAGCTTCGAAAAGTCCGCTTACGAACGATTCTTCCTTCTATCTCCATTTTTTCAACACTGAAACTGAATCACGGTAATATCGTTTCTTTTCGTATCATGATTGAATTTTAAGCACGATTCGCGTAAGTTCCATTGAATGATTTCGAACCTAATTGGTTCCGTTTGCAATTTGATCTATAGTCTTAGTCTCCTTCGCAACGGGTAAAGAACAACGAACACATAACCTCTAAATTTGTCGACCGATTAAATATAAATATATGAATAAACATAGAAACGTGAAAAAGATTATGCAATCAAGAAATACTTCCATTTGAAGCAACTTGTGCACGGAACTTTTGTTCAGTTCCGCGAACAATCGACTGTCACTATCCATAGTGAGACTTTTTAACTTATTGTGCGTTCTGCTGCATCAGATTACGCATGGTAGACATTACACTATCAGCGCGCGTAATTATTATCAAATATAAACTATTGTAAAAAAATAGAATTATCAAGATATAAATTATATTATTAAAATTTAATTTAATTTATTTAAGAGAAAAATGAAATTAAATCTGTTACCGTTTCTGCGAATTGATTTTCTCGAAAGATCAAGTTTGCAAATGATTAAGCACTTATATATATTTTTTAGATCTAGGAATTGACACACACATATATATATATATATATATATATGTATATATGCCGGTTTTGTTTTATGAATAGTTATTCTCAAGTAGATGCGTTTTCAAATAATTTTTCGATTTTCCAAAAAAAAAAAAAATAATAATAATATAATAAATAATAAAAAAAAAATGTAAGATTGAAATTGTAACTATAATTAAAGTTATAGTATATGATAATATCATTTCAAAATTTTACAAAAGATTTATAAAAATAATCAAAGAGATCATAAAAAACTAAATATTTTTTGCAATTTTTATAGAAATTTCTTTTGTGTGTTATTTCTACAAAAATTTTTTATTCTTAGATATAAATTATAAAAAAGACAAAAACTTACCATAAATTCTTTACAAGATCGAGACCTTAAAACCGTTCTCTTCACTGATTAACTCACAACTGCTGTGCTGCTCTACGAATCCGAACAAGTCTCATTCAAAATTAACTTAATAACCAACTATTGATGTAACCAAGCGTCGTAATTTATCGAAACCTAATACTTATCAATTAAATCCAATGATAACGAAGATATTACACACCAACGATATCCGATTCAATTTCCATTCGAATCTTCGATATGCACGATTAACGCGCTCCAATGCATGTGCTCAATGTGCACACATTGTCTGCGAAATAATGGGTATAATTAATTTCTTTTGCGGTTTCTTTCATGTGTAATTATGAATTGGAAACTAGAAGGATTCTCGACTCGTGTCTCTCAAAGCGTCGTCTTAATTTCGTTGATTAATGGAACAAATGTGTTTAAGAGAAAAAATATTTTATGGATGATTGTACGTTAATTTATCGATTGTTGATTCATACGTTGAAAAATAGCATGTATAATATGCATATATATTCTAACTGGTCAAGAACACGAGATTGATAGTTGCAGTATAATATCTAATGAATAGTTATAAACTGGAAAGAATTAAAGGAACTTCTTTAATAATCGTTACGTAAAGTGAATTTCCTGGTTCTAACTTTATTTTATTTAATTTATGTTGTTCTTTGTCCAGGAAATAAAGAAAATGAATATTTTAAATTAAAAATTAAAAAAGAAGATTAATTTCAAAAATCCGATTATTACTTTATTAATCAGATTTGTTCCTTGTTTTCACAATGAGCTCATATATCATATAACAAGATATTATTATATATGTGTTGAACGTGAAGACGAATATTTTTTACACAGATTGAATACAAATAATCGGAAATATAAATATAATTATTTCTCGAGATTTTTCACACATACAGTGTTAATTTTTCATATAGATTTTCACTTCTTCGTTCAGCATTTTTTTTATTCATAATTAATAAATCATAGCTTTTCATTTATAAAGGATAGACAGCTTGCTTATATAATATGAAAATGTATTTCTAAGAGTATATATTTTTACAAATCATGCGTAATGAATAAGAGAGGTAACAGACATATATATTAAAAGGAAAAGTTCCAAAGCGGACAGAACAATTTTACAATAACGATGCACGTTCACGATTCTCATGTGGAGCAGCGTGTACGATATGCTGACTGTTGCAAAAGCGGGCAAAATCATTCTAGCTAGAGGAAACAACGGTGACGTGTTCAACCATATCGGTGCAATTAACAGATAAGGGACCACGATTTCGAGATCATGTTGATGTGCATTTCGAATGCGATCCACGTCCACGTGTCCGCCTCCTGTCGGGCATAAAATTATATCGGTACCTTTCAACCATCTTCTATCCTCCTCGCTGTGGATCACCTATGAAAAATCGTTTAAACCGAGGCGTTCCAATTACCGAGTCGTAAATAATGTTATATCGAAGGAAAAAATCTCTTATCGAACGAAACAAGTTTTAAAATTGCTCTCCTTGAATAATCAGTCTCAATTTTCTGCGGGGAAACATAAATTCGTACGTAAACAGACACTTAAGTTCATTGGGAATTGCCTGAATCGTGATAAATGACGGAATAATGTAAATAATCGACATGTTCCGTAATTATAATACGAGAAACGTTGGAATTAAAGAGTTACGACAACTGATCACGTTTGAGATTTGATAAGAAAAGAAACATTTGTTTTTCACTCACTGTGTCGCTCGTGATAACACAAGAAATGACATTAAAAGATAATAATAAATCTTGAATATTTACAAATATTAATATACCATATTCTGACTCTTTTATATTTTATATAAATAACGAAGTAAGCGTTATATGAATAATTCTATTAAGAAAATATAACAAAAAGATTTATCCGACCTCGCATTCCCGATTTTTCAACAAGAATTATGATTATGATTTCAATTAATTGAACGATGCGAGATAAAGTCTATTACAAAAACTGGAATACCTTGAATGCTAAATGAATGATTCCACAGAAGTGTTTATTCTAAACTTCCTATCCATGTATATTAATACGCTATAACTTATACGAAAGATCAAAACATCGTTAAATTAAAACTCTTGCCTACTTCTTGTTTCTCGATATCGATGTCGAAAAGATTCATTTCTTTACCTGTCTGGTCGCTCGAATTCGCCCAGTGAACCAAGTCAAGGCGTTCATCTTCAGAACGAGAACGCACGACCACCAGGCGTAAGCTGCCCACAACTCTCTCGCAAGATTGCTCTCCATTGTTCTTGGCTTCGTAACGAGAAGAAAAACTCGAAGAATGGAGGGCGTAGCTCGTTGTTCCCTTAATATTTCTTTCGTTTAGTCGCGTGCGCCATTCTCTCAACGCGCGAGAGGTGGATCATTTATCAATGTCGCGATAAGAGAACAAGAACGGCGGAAGAAAAAAAAAAAAAAAAAGAAAAAAAGGAAAATAAAAGAAAAAAAATGCGCGAATAAAAGAAAAAAAGGGAGGGAGAATGCAAGGAACGAGTATCAAAGCACAGAGGGGGTGGTGGGGAGGTGTTAGAAAGTTAGCACGAGCGCGAAAGGAAAGTTGTCGAGAGCGGAATCGCGTTAAAATTCACTTCGCATGGATTCGTTGTCGCTCGTTGCTACCAGACGACTGACTGCCTCGAAAACCGGTGTCCCTGGAACGTGATCTCGAGTCCTACAGCCCTATTTGGAAGTCAAATCGACAAGCGCCACGCCGATTCTTGGGGCCGGGCCACGTTTCGGAAACGTAGCGGCATTTGTTTCGAGCTGGCTCGTTTATTTTTCTACACGGGGAACAGGGACACGTTAAAAAAGTTGGGGAATTGTAAAACACGTAGTTGGCGCAACGTATTTTTGCCGTATTTCGATCGAGTCGAGCCCGTGTCGATGTCGATAAATGTTGCGAACGTCGCGAAAAAGTTTTCGTTGCCCTCCCACCGACAAGTTGGCTATTGGTGACGATGATAAATGATAAGAAATAAGAAACGTTGATGTCTGTCTATCTGCTCGAAACTTTTTACAATATCAAATTCGATACCCCTTAGAAATCCGATACTTGGTTATTTGACTATGATGCAAATTTATTATTATATCGATGAATTTTTTCAAAGTTTTGAGAAAAGTTTTTTGACACTGTACGAGGGATAAAAACGTGACTTTTCATTTGGTATATGTATTGATGCTTTCGTTTAAAAGGTTTTAATTTACATATCAATTGTTACATCAATTATCCTAAGATTCTTTATCACGATAATCGATCGATAAACTCGATCTACTAAGAAACGATTAATCGGTAATTTATAATTATTTAAAAGAAGAAGAAGAAGGAAAGAAAATAATTATTGTCAATTTTATTCCTCGAACTTCTCGGCATTTCGTAATATTTCATTCCTAGAAAAATGTTCGGCAAACTTCAAACGATCCACACCGATTTTCTCCGATCGGCAAAGTAGCTAATTAAAGTGAAATCTTTGGTAGATTATGCGATATTTAATGTCACGTTACAAACGCCACTGGGCGATGTTACTCTTCTTTATGTTCGACTGTATCGACACGTCGATCAGATTATTTCCAAGGAAAAAATCCGTGGCGACGATGTTCGTCTCCTTCCACCATTCCTCCTGGAACTTGTACGTGAGATTCCTGTTCACCGAGTCGGCCATCTGCCGCAACCCGCCGGATAAATTGAAGATTATGTCCAACGGGTAAGGTGTTAACTCCGCCATCACCGCCCACAATGGATTTTGACTGTTACGAGACTTCTTCGGACCCATGATGACTTTGTCCAGATATTTGAACAGCCCTTCCACCGTCTGTTGATTACCCCAGGCTTGAGACATCGTTGGCCAAAGCCAATCGTATTCTGAAATATAATACACAGATAGATAGAGCTGCCGAGATAAAAGAGAGGATCGAGAATAAAACGAATTTAATTAAATTAATCTTGAAATGAAATTATTAGAGTCTCCATTTAATCGACATTGTTACATTCGTTCTATGATAAGATAATGACAAATTTACCATTAACGATATGCTTATCACCGTAGCAAATTATCAACCGTTTCCCTCCGGTCCAAATATCATTTAAGGTCGGACCGAGACCTTCGACACCTCTATCCGGTTTCAGAATCAATCCTTCGAATTCTCGTAAAAGGATCATGGCCAATCGACGATGCCTACTAGGTCTATCCTCGAATCCCACGGGAAATCTGCAAACAACATAACTCCAACCGTTGAACATCGTTTCATTTTAACGATAATACACTGTAACGATACTCTCACTGTATATCGATACGCGAAGAAATATTATATATCAATTTCTCTCTCCCTCTCTCTCTCTCTCTCTCTCATCTTTCTCCCACGAGAGGATCGTGCAGTTTCCAATAGCTAAATATGCGCGATCAAGTTCGAGATATACGTAGACGAACGGGCAGCCGCGGTCAATTTCATAGCAATTTGAAATCAATTTGCATCACAAGCATCGAATCGTTCTCCCAGCATTATCGATCCATCCGAATCGGCAGTGTTGCATTAATGCCAACGTATGCCAATTTACCTATGAAAGTCCATGATGACCACCTCTCCCCTAGCGACGTTCAGAAAGTTTCTCACGTCTTTGATGATGGCCGAGAGGGGGGTGATCCGGATGACATCATGATTGATCCAGAATCTGCTTATGTGATTGCCCTCCTCGATGGCCGTGCCGTTGGGAATTGACGGGTAATAACCAACTCTGATGTCGAGATACCTTATGCCGTGCACTAATTGCGTCCACACGTCGCGGTCCTGCGTCAACAGGTACCTTTGGAACGCGTCTCGTCTCGTCAGGTCGCCGTGCTTGTAACATCCGGAATTATGCGTGCCTGGGATCATCAAACTCCCTATCGGAAGTCTTCCTAATTGTCTCCTGAAGAGAGAATCGTTTCGAGAGTTTGATCGAGAAATAATTTTTTCCAGAAATCTAATCACGTCCTACCTCAAGTCGTACATCCACGTTGGCCAGATCTGTAAACAAGAGCTGGTAAGGTACACTCCATCCTTGTAAAGGGCGGCGTGGTGTTTCAGGCAATGCGGACCCGGAAGCGTCGCGCCATCCTTGGTGTCCCATCCACCCGGAAGCGGTGGACGTCCAACCGTGATGTTGGTTCGATAGTAACCCCGTGGGTATTGCAGCGAACTCAAAGTCAGCTTAGGTTAACCGTTTTATCTGAAAACGCGACGTCAATGGTTGCGTCGATCTATATCGATATAAATTACTTTCGAATAAATTGCTCGAACCTCGATGAGAAAAAAAGAAAAATATTGCGTTTTTGTTCGCTTGAATGCCTTGAAAGTAAGAATAATTATCATTGGAACGCGGTTAAATTAAAGTTGAAAGAAAAAAGAAAAAAAAAGAAAAAAATGAAGAAAAAAGAAATGATAGATCGATTACAATCGTTAATATTCGAAATGTAATTCTAAGCCTCTCTTTAATTCACGACGTTCAATAGAAGCAAACAAAACTTATTACTATGTGCTGGGTCAGCAGTGAACACCTTGATGGTATCTGGATATCCTGTACTCGTTGGACAATCGAGGTCCCAATTTACTTCGAGCTCAGCGTCGACCACCTTGTCGCTGGCAGCGATTGGTCTCCACAGCGAGGAGACTGTCAGCCATACTTTTCCGCATTGTGCTGCCAATGCTGAAATCACCAATTTTTTTTTTTTTATTCGTCAGCAATCCCTTATCATGCGGACGACACACTTCCGACTGTTCCAAAATTTTTTTCAAGCGTGCTCGAAAACCACGTAATAAAACCACGAGATTTAAATTTACCGATATCGCAGAATACGTGAAGAAGCAGCAATATTTCACCCTTCAGCATCATCGAGTAATGTGCCAATTTATCCAAGCTTCCCGTACAAGCCCGTGCTTCCCTCCCGTCCTACGTCAAACACCTACCTATATCGACGATAAAAATAAAAATTATACGTATATACATATATATATATATATAGAAATATTATTCGATTAACGAATCAATATCAATAAATTAATAGATCATTGTTTCTGTGGCGATAAAAATGGAACAGCATCATCGATCGATGATTAACGAACGCGACAACAATAATATAGAAGAACAACGAAGTTATTAATTAAAGATTACGATCACTCGAACGAAAGTTGAGAAAGAGGAGAGGATCCGGAGACAAAAGCACTTACGCGCGCGGACACCACTTCCTGACGCGGCGAGTCGATCGCCAGGAATCCCACCTCGAGTCCTGGTTCTCTCCTTCGGCTGCCGATCGATGGCCGATCGAGCATTCAGTCGCGCTTCGTTCCGCGGAACGATCCTCTTTCTTCTCCTCTCCTTTCCTTCGCCTTCAAGGGGATCGACGCAGACCGCTCGATCGACGACGCATCGTCCGTCACACGATCGATTCACGGCGAGAGCAACCGGGTCGATACCGATCGACCTCGGGCCTCGGAGAGGGGGAAAAAAAAAAAAGGAAAAGAACGAACGGATCCGGCCGTCCGGAGACAGTCCAGCGACTGAACGATAGAGAACCGAACGAGCCGTGACCGGACCAGTTTAATATAGAACCCGCTCGCTTATAGGACATTCAAGCACATTGTGCCATCCTTCCATCACTTCCTCGGACACGTCAATTGCTCGGTGGGGACCACGTAGCTGTCCTCGTCGGCCACCCGTTCGAACACGTTGCGTTTTTCTCTGTCCAACCGTTCGTTCGGTCATCCTATCGACCGACCGCCGTCCACCACCGGGGGGTCAGACCCGGCCTGACCCGCCGGCATTAAACACCATTTCCTGCGTACGCCATGGAATATATAGCTTCGAGACAACGACGTAAGCGTAGGGAGGGCGTACGGCGGTGTACGAGCGTCGATGGATCCGTCTCCGGGGTTTGGGGGACGGATTCTGATTCTACATTGAATTATCACCCTCGTCGCTCGTGGCTGGGCAACCGAGGGGAGGGGCGGGGATCGTGAGAGCTAACAGGATGATGATTAGGTACAGGTGCGGGCAACGAGGCGACTCGATTTATCGTTACTCGCCGTTCGATATGATATTTGCCGACCGTCCCGTGTTTCATCCATCCGATATCGAACCGATTCTCTATCCAGAAACTGTTTATCATCCGCCACGCTTGTTTTTGGAATAATTGGACCCGGAAATTGGAAGATGGTGTTCGGTGGAGATTAATTGTTTGTCAATCGTGCGTGGTTGGTGTGGAAATATTGACGTTAGGTTATCTCGTTAAAATCGTCTTTTCTTAATTAAAAAAAAAAAGTTTGATTCGGTTGGATACACTTTTTATCCTTTTCTTTTGGATGAAAGAAAAATTTTCTGATCGATGTCGTTTACGGATAAATAATCAATTTAATCGTGTTTTCACTCGTTCGTGATCGATTTAAGGGGATCGAAAGGAAACTCGGTTTAGTACAACAGATATACAATTTATTTACAAGATCTCACGCGGATATAAAGTAACAAAGTGCTCTCTCTCTCTCTCTCTCTCTCTCTCTTTCCTCGCAAGGGGAGAGAGAGAGCGCGGAAGATGATCGTGATCGATCTCGATCTCGTTTTGCGTGAAAAATAAATTAAACGCCTGAAGAAGAAATTATTTTCTAATCGATCGTCGCGCGATCTACGTTTTCGCTCTCGCGTCAAATAAATAATTAGTTCGATATAGTATATTATACACAATGTTTGAATACAATTAGATACGACGATGAATCGGTTCACGCTCGCGCGCGCGCGACCTACTCTTTAATTACCCTTCGCCGCGTTAAACTCTTTTAATCGGCGTTTATAGTACACAGAAGGACGTTTAATACGATTTGATTCGTTGAGGTAGATAATTCAATCAGTCTATGAAGCTGCTTTGTCGGTCGTTATTGGCATCAATTCGCAAAACTCGATTCCGTCGAATCAGGCTGAATATTTTCACTCGATTTCTCCTGTTCAACTCTGACAGACAATGTTAACGCTGAACGTCTCGCGAGTTCCAACTTCTTCGCTGTGTTTATCTAATTGTTATGAATTCTCCCCCAAAGAAGAATCGGATCCAAGAAACGTTCCAAGAATGTTTGGTCAAAGTTGTACAAGAATATTTTAACCTAAGTTGTGTTGATTTTTCAATATCTTTGGGTTTCTTTCTCGAGAAGTACTTGGAGAAGCGAGATTTCATTTTTTTTTTTTTTGAACAGCGATTAAAAACCCAAAGATATCGAAAGAGGTACGCGAACAAGTTTCGCTTGAGACTATCAGTCGAGAAAAAAATTGTTCCGCGAATATGCTGTTGTCTCTCATCATTTGACCAGGTACAAACGTTGAATAAAGGAAAGATGTTTTGGTAAATGGGAAGTGAAGCCTCATGGCTGATCAGAGTCGATCGTGTGTCGTTCCACGTCGAATGATCGTCGAAGACGGGTAAATTAATAATTCGTAACAACATGATTATACGTATGCCCGTTTACTATTTACTTACGAACTACGAAATAAATTAAAATACTTGGCTATTCGCGAGGATCGTGTGAAATGTATCGCTTCACACGCGCAAGAACGAGGAGAATCGTTTGCGAAAAAAGAAATTCTTCGTTGGATTAAGTAGCTTGGCCGAAGGCGGACTCGATCGAACCGACGAAAAAAACTTCGATCGATTCGATTCCAAGTGCGACCAAGTGATTCCAACTGTCATCGTATCCCAACAGAAATCCTAACAAATGAATATATGTACAATTCAATCGATCCCTTCCTCCCAAGAAACACTGCCAAGGATCTGAAAAATTAAAACGAAAGCGTCTCTCCACTGTTTTTTCAGAGACGCAAATTTTTCAAACACCTCTTAAGATTTTCTTAATCTTCTTCTTTCTTTCGGTCTCTTCTTCGCGAAAGAAGACTCCAAAAAAAAAAAAATTCGGTTCACTCGACGAAGAAAACGATCGAACATAATCGTTCGAGATAATGCAAAGTTCAACAAAGTTCCTCCTGTTTCCTCGCTCGTTCCCCATCGTCGAATTATCTTAGTGCGCGACGTGTTAATTCGCTCGTTGCGTAAGAAGATTTAACAGCTCGTCGTGATCCATGCTGTTCAACGTTTGTATGTCTATGCCGAGCGCGTTCGCCACGCTCTTCATGTCGAGGCCGAAGCTCTTCAACAACTCGATAAAGTCCATTTCCTCACCGGTGAACGGGTTGTGCAGCTTCGGGCAGCTGTGATTACACTGCGGCCAAGTGCAACGTTCGATTAACCGGAAGTGGCAGCCCTGAACACACTTCCGTTTGCCAGATGGTATCACCGACCGCTGCGGCCTCGTCCCGTTGAACATGCCTGTGTGGTTGCTGTCGTTGTTCTGCTTGTTACCCTTACGCCGACCTGCAATCCCACCCGAATTTCGCCTCGATCAGCTTTTCCATCCGTCTCTTCTTTCCACTAATTTTTCTTTACGATAAAAAAGAGTACGATCGAACGACGAGATTAACTTATTGGAAAAAAATACAATTTTTTTCGTGCTCCATCGATTTTCAAAATTCAACAGGATTAACAGTCGATTATGGCACGTGTCTTGCAATATTTCTAATATAGAAAAAATTATCAAGAAAAATACGTAGAAATTTAAGACGTAAAAATTAATACTTTAATAAATTGATACCGTTGTACAGTTTAAAAAGGAGAAAAATTTGACGAATAAATATCTAATAACGAGTTTATGTTAATTAACGTAATATCTAATTCTAATTAGACAATTGTCGAATCATC